ATATTTAGTTTATAATCTATGACATTTATAAATGCATGAATGATATGGTGAAAAACTGACTTCGAAAAATGAATCTGTTCTTTTTTTTCTTATAAAAGGCTAAATAAAACCAAAATATTGGTGGTAATTTTTGACTGTGTAACTTTACAAACGGCACCCCATAAGAAACAATCTATCAAAATCACATTTCCTTACTTTTTGTGCCAAGTTAAAAAAAAAATAAATAAATAAATAATACCGAGCAAAAACAATAAAACTACACTTTGTCTGTAGTTGTTGAGATTCATGACTTTAAATCCAGTCATTGGTTAAAGTTTTTTCTTATCCCTGTCAGGCGTGGTAACGATTCACACAGTTTGTGGTGTTTTACTGTAAATCAGGGGGAAAGCAGTGAGCCGAGGAGGCAGGAAGTGAAACAGCTCACCACAGCTGTGGCCAGGTCAGCTCCCAGAGACGTCCAGCTCAGGATCAACGTCAGAACTCCAAACACCATCATCCTGCAGCAACACAAACAGCATGAGTACAAGACCGCTCCTTCTTTAATGACAGTACCTCTTCTCACTAAATCAAGACATTTCGAAACAACGGGTAACCTTTTAGGTGACAGCTGCAAGAATAACTACCATGTGATATTTTTCACCACCTCATACATTTTACTTTTAATTTTACTCCTCACAAACATATCTGTCACCTTGATGTTTGGCTGCTCTGTCATGACTTCATTTGTCTGTTTGTCAAAGCAAAAACAACATCTAATAAAGAGAAATCTAAAAAAACAGTGATCAGGAATAGCATTAATAGCAACAAGTATGTAGGAGTAGTTTAATTGTAAAAAAAAATGTACAGATTAAACTATAAACAGGAGAACCATTGAGTGAATGAATCAGCATTCATGCAATAAACGTAATGGGGATATAGTAAAAAGTTATTTTCACAAGTTTAGTTTTTTCTGTTTAAGGGAAACACCATGATCCCACAGAGGAAAGAAGGGCTGACCTAAAACYTGAGATCACATTTCTGTTGCTGCAGCAGAGTTGCTTTGTAAACCAGGCACAGCTCTATTGGCCTACATCTGATTGCAGCCCCCTGGGCCGATGGGCGTTCCATCACTCATGAGGATGTTCCCGTTTGTTATTGTTTCTCAGTAGCTCCCACCCTGATGATGTCATTTTATCAAAAAAACGGCATTAAATACACTGGACCATACAGGCTGACAGATTATAGGCCGCTGGTGAGGATTTCTGCTCGTGGGGGAAAATCAATAACAGAAAACAAATCAGTTCTGATGATAAATCAGATTGAGTTAGCTAGATTCACAAAACATTTCAATAAGCTTCAGCTAATTWGACTTCAGAGGCATTTTGCAAAAACAAAAAATAATAATAATAAATGTATACACACTGATTCAACAACACGTCTCAACAAATTACTGTTTAAGTACAAAGCTTTTCCGCAATGAAACGACCTCCTATACAAATCACCCTGTTTGATTTTAACCATTATTTTTCTTTCTGCCTGTATTCCCTCGACCTTCCCCACAGTATCGTTTCCGTTCTCACTACTCTGTGTTATTTCTGTCGGTGCCTCTGTGTGATGAACTCTCACACATATCATGAAAAGAAACAGGATTCAACAGGAACATCAGAATCAAAGTCTGCCTTCCAGTCTTGCTGACTGCAGTAATGCCTACAAAGATAGCAAAATATGAGTGAATCAACACTGAAATATGGTTAGGCATGATACTGAATCCATGTTGAAATGATACAATTAGTGTCCGGTGACTTATTTCTTGAAACAATGTTAGGTTTTCAACCATAACTGATGCTATATCAATGTTGATTCAACATTGATGCAACATTGGCATTTTAATAACCAGTCCTTCTGTGTTTGTCTGTAGATGCGTTTCCATTGCAAATGTGCGCAAAACTTTGTCAATATTCTGTTAATGTCGAAAAAACACAGTTTCGCAACTGCGGTGGTTCCATTAAGTAAGAAACGCTGTTAAAGTCACGCATGAATACGTTTGTTCTCATTTGTAAGTCCTTGCAAACATGGCGGCGATGGATGTAAACACATAGCATGTTGCTACCATGACACTAGCACTCATCATCAGAGGAGACGTCGGCGTCTTTTATCGAGGCTTTCCAGCAACAAGCCCCTACTTGGGAGCGGCTACGTATGCTGTGTTTTTGGGAAATTGTAGTCAGTGAGTTTACTACTTTATTTTACTACTTCTGTGATATTACTACTACTTCTACTTCCTGTTATCTTCTTCTTCGTCGTCTTTTTCGCCAGTAGAAAAAGCCGGTTGTTGATCACGTGACTCCTGTGATGCAAAAAAAGTGTTTCCATTGCAGTTTTGCGAAAAACACCAATTTCAATATGGCCGAAAAACCACCTCTTCCTAGTGCAAAAACATTTTGTCGAAAAACACTTTTCCCCGAAATTAACGTGTTTCAATTGAGCAAATTTATTTTTGAAATTCTATTTTGCGCATTTTCATGGTCAATGGAAACACAACTTGTGTCTCTTTTCTATCCTCCCAAACTCAGCCGGTCAAGGCAGATGGCCGCCTGTCCTGAGCCTGGTTCTGCTGGGGTTTCTTCCTGTTAAAAGGGAGTTTTTTCTCTCCACTGTCACCAATGTGCTGCTCAGGTTGGGAGATTGTAGCCGTGTTTCCATCAACGGTTTTTAATGCACATTTTGAAGTATCGCTTAGAAAAGGTGAATGGAAACGGCAGAATTCTAAAAAAAAACTTCCTCTAATTAGCAAAAAAGTTTATATGCTCGCTTGAGGAGGGTTTTTCGAAAAAGGTTAATGCGCAAAAGAAGCAATTACCTCACATGGTTGATCAGCTGTTCCCGCTGTCTGTTAGGTACCGGTACCAGTACCAGAGCGACTGCAGCTGGACCCTCCCCCCCACTGTCGGCGTCTTCTCAGATATTCTCATAACGTGAAGAGAATYAATTTCTTTCTCTAGTCTCCAGACAGCGTGGAACATTGCCAAAATGAGTTGATATGACAGAATAAGTACAACTTTCCCGATAGTAGCAACACGTTCCTGATAACTTCTCTGCATTGTACTGAGATGCGTGGACCCTGCGAGTTTGCAACTTTACTTCCTGTTTACTTCYACCATGTGCGTAGCCTGGTTGATTCACAGCCAGTTGATGGAAACACATCTGATTCGCATTTCTTCATTTTTTTTTCCTTTTTGTAAAATTTTTAAAATTTGCTCAAAATTCAAATTAAAATTGGACGGAATCACGGCTTGTGGTAAAGTGATTTAATGCAATCTGCTGGCTTCTTTAGATTGTTTTTTGTGTACAGTGCCCTGAGACAACATACTGTATGTTGTGACTTATCAACTTTTTTGACCATAATTCAACATTGAATTAACATCTTTTGCTATCCGGGTATATACAGCGGGTAAAATAAGTATTGAACACGTCACCATTTTTCTCAGTAAATATATTACTAGAGGTGCTAATG